ACAAGAGTTCAGTGGCTAAAACTGCACTTTAAAATGTGGAACCACTTTTGAAGTATTAGTAAGTCTTATTAGCTTTTAAGTAACTCAAACTTAGCAGTAAACCTGATTAATAAACCTATCTAGGACCTGTAGGACTCAAATTCTAGTAATTATACACTAATAAGTTGTGAATTTATGGTTTGGTAGTTTTTGGTACGGTTTGGTAGTTTGGTAGGTTCTGGTGCTATTTGGCAGTTCTCTGTGTGATTTGGTAGTTCTCAGTACAGTTTGGTATTTCTTGATATAGTTTGGTAGTTCTCAGTATGATTTGGTAGGTTTTGGTACGGTTTGGTAGTTTTTGGTATGGTTTGATAGTTCTCAGTACAGTTTGGTAGTTCTCTGTACGGTTTAGTATGGTTTGGTAGTTCTCAGTATGGTTTAGTAGTTCTTGGTACGATTTGGTAGTTCTCAGTATGATTTGGTGGGTTTTGGTACAGTTTGGTAGTTCTCAGTACTGTCTGATAATTTTTGATACAGTTTGGTAGATTTTGGGCCGTTTGGTAGTTCTTGGTATGATATGGTCGTTTTTAATAGGTTTATTAATTGCGCATTTAGTGCCTGTAAATTGTCTCTTGTTAAAATAATAAAATGGCTAAAGCTCAGTGTGAAGTAGCCAAAATTCTACTATTACTACAGTTTTGTGTTTTGTCTTGTTTTCTTTTTAATAACTAATGTAATCATGATGTAACGTTCATGTTTTTGTGAGGGAAGCCGTCCCGTGTGTGAAAGGCTGCTGCACAACTTCATCAGTTAACAAATACGACAGCATGTGGGGAAAGAGATCCGCCTCGCGCTGCTGCAGAATGTTGTAAAGCGTATCATTATACTTTTATGCAGAACTCTTGGTGACTAGCACTTGTTGACATTCAGTGTTCTGCTGCAGAGTTTAGGGTGCTCTAAACGCCTCCCCTGGCTTGCTCTAGGCAAGTTCTGCATTTGTCTTTTTGAATAGGGGTTGATGCCACGAAAACATTTGTCTTGAAACATCAGAATTTTAGGAGGTAAAAATCGCCAGGGTTTAAAAAACTATATACAGGGTGATTCAGAAAGATTCATCCAATTTTAAAATGATTTATTTCACTTGTAAATCGTTACAGATCAATGCAGTAAACTGCAAATGGCTTAAATGAGCATAAAGTTTATTATGTAATTTTACAAGTGTTCAATATGAACCTCCTCCAGCTGTACAGACAACATCAACACCATAGTCAAATTCATCCCATACTGGATTGAGCATGTCGGGTGTCGCTGCACTCACGGCTCTTTCAGTGCGATTTCGGAGATCATCCAGTGTTGTAGAACCAACAAGGAACACGCTGGGCTGTTGGAGCTTCACTGCCGACGAAAATCACGCTGCACAGTTATGACGGATTCACTCTTATTGAAGTGGAGAACGCAGAACGCTTTCTGCTCAGGGGTCTCATCTCCTCTCAGACTGAAGGGAGCCATCTTCCACTGACAGTCAGAAACTCCATGACCCCCTCTTCCATTTGGATTGTGATTGGCGCCTCACGGATGTAAAAATATGGTGCTTTGAAATCGGATGAATCATTTTGAATCACCCTGTATAACAGTAATCAACTTTTTTTCCGGAGTAATTTCAGTCATTTTCGATTCTTTTACTAGCACTCAAGTGAATTTTCACTAGAGCAGCAGGACTTAGGAATTAATTCTCAGTACTCTTCCTTTTTGCTCTTTAAGTAGTGACGGTGGAGTTCAGGTGCACAGCTCCCTGTATGCACGATGTGCAAAGGAAGTTAAACTGAGCGTGTCAGTGTTTTCAAGGTAATGTTCAGCTTTTGTTGACAAGCTTTTAGCTGCAGTAATGTCAAAGCGCAAGGACAGACTTGATAACTTCATATTCTTGGTCATGTTGGGTATAAGGGCAGCTCTACTCGTTTCTGTTGGATTATTTTGCCTCTTGTGTGTTTGTGTATATGAAATGGTTGTGATGTCAGCATGCGCTCTACTTATGTAGGCATGTTCCATATGCCAGAGCAGAAGCGCAAAGGAAGACAATAAGGAAATGATTGAATAATTGAACAGCCTAAATAAATGATAAGCTGAGATTTTTCACTCAGTGGGTGGCTTGGAGGTCTGTTGCGTCATCACATGGTCAGAAATACACACAAGGACATTGTACAAAAATAGCAGTAGGGCATAGTTTATCCTGTTTGGGGGCATTTATACAAATAATTGATGAATTTGGAAGCCCAAATGTAGATCTTGCTGTTTGTAATGTGTTTTTAAAACACATGTAAATTAGAGATGCACCAATAAGGGTTGTCTGGATCTGATACAGTAGCCAGTAATTCATACCTGATTGTGGCTGATGCAGATATCATAAATGATAATTTCAGTTATTTCAATGTAAATATTATTTTAATGTTTTACATTACTTTATGTATGCATTTACTTTATTTAACCCTCTTATCTACAGCATTCACAGTATTCACAACCATATGTGAATATATCCAACAACTCTTAAAAATAAATCACAAGGAAATGGAATTAACTGACTACAATTACTAACAACTACTAACCATAAGAACCATTCTTAAAACCCACTTACGCAGTTTTCACGAAGACTCTGATTCACCTGTGTTTTCTTATGTGGGATTCGTTCTTAGGTAAAAACAGAATCTACACACACTCAAGAGCACAAAGGTGAGAACAGTTCTGCGCTTTAAGAACACGTCATGAATCTGACGTAGACTTTTTCATGGGATGTTTCTCAAGAATAAATTTAAGAAAAAACTTAGGAAGATACTGGAGAATGAGGCCCAGTGTTTAAGATCGTCATTACTCAATGAGTAACCTGATTCAAGGCTAAAAAAAATAATCGTGTCATACCCATATAGCTAATGGCTGCTCAGAAAAGCTCCCAGCAGAGGCCATCGTGGAGTCTTGAATAGGGGTCTTTAATTAAAATTAAGGTAAGGTCCAGTTAGAGAAAACTTCCTCAAGCAAAGGTCCAGAACATCATAATGTCTAACCTGCGTTATGATTCAGTGTCATATACTGTAAACTGAAGTAGCCTAGTAGGTATATCAACATCTTATACAGTCAACAACTGAATATCAAATCAAATAAAGTACAATTCAGTAACATTTCAACATCATTTATGTCAGTTTTCTGTTTTTAGAGAACGTCATGTGAAATAACTTCCCTCTGACTCACTTTCTTCTCCGACTGCTGTGTCTCGCCTCGTCCCTCCCCTGTGTGTGCGACACTCACCCGAGTCTCAGTGCTCATCGTAATGCACAGATCTGATTGGCTGAGTAGCGTCACGTGTGATATTTACAACGCATGCGATTGGTCTGTGAGTCTCCCGGGCCGCTAAAGCTACCGTAAAGGCTAGGAAAGTTAGGCTGATTAAAACAGGACCACACCGCCGAAATTAAATAATTCTCCCTAGTTTATCAGTTACAGGTCCAGGTCCACATAGGACAGTGTCAGTCGGCCTTCTAGTGACCTCTGGTCTAGAAGAAATGAAATCCTCACCACTTGGACTACGTACGCATGCGTGAGCTAAAAACAGAAGAAATAATTTCAATATGAGGCCGTTACAAGGCTCGAGACTGCGACTGAAAGGGTCGCAATTGCGACTGCAATTATTAATTCGCGAGTAATAGTTTTTTAATGGGTAACTATTTATTACTATTGTACTGTATTTATTACCTTTTTTGTTGTTATGTATTTTCTTTTATTTCTTTGACTTAAAACATAACTGAGAGGCTGTAGCATCACATGGACGCGTTCGCCCATCAAAAAAATGACTGCATTCTCCTGGGATTTCAAGCTGAGTGGCAAAACGTGACAAACGAAGCAGATGAGCCAAGCTGCAGTGAACGTCAGCATGTAGAAAATGTAAAGAAAATGTAAAGGTTTTTTCACACGATCTACGTCTCTGTCAGACGTTAAGAGGTCATCTGCTCAACCTCAGTCTAGTAAAAGACACACATGAAGATGTACTTGAACAGCCGTCCACTTCAAGCACTTAATGTGAAAGTACAACCACAGAAAGACATTTCTGAACTTCTTGGCTTCAGAAATTTGTGTGGCTCAGGTATGATAACATATAAGCAGACTATATTGCGAACTCTGTTCAAAAGCAAGCAAAGATGTAGTTGGAAAATGGATTTAAAAGGAACAAATAACTTCTAAAAAGAGATTGTGGAAAAAACACGGCGAAAGTCGACGGCATAAAAATGCACGAGATTTCATTATCGCAAAGAGCGATCCGAAGGAAATTTACTTTGTCTGCGCAGTGTCTCGTGTAATCCAGGTCCGAAAAGTAAAAACCCTCACCAGGATTTTGTTCCAACTGCTTGACTTCTCTAATTTGCTCAAACCAGCAGCAAAGGTGTTCAGGCAGTTGGAACAAAATCATGGGGTAGGTTTTTACTTTTTGGACCTGGATTACCCACCTCTGGTCTCGTGAGTGCGAAAAAAACAGCCGAGAATTCAAAGAGCTTCAATTTTAGTTCAACACAGCCTCCATGATAGCATGTGAAGACCTACCCTTCACCAAATTCACCTCCTAAATCTTGTTAATGAAAAAATCAGACTGGATGTGTCGAAGATAAGATGTTTGAATGTATGTTTTTTTTTGTTTGTTTGTTTGTTTTTTTTTGGCATATTTTTTAAAAAAGCTATTGCCCCTGATTTTTTTTTTTCTTTTAGTGGCTCCCTAAGCTAATTTTTTGTCTGAAGCCCTGCGTTAATATTAATTGCTCTTTTCCATTTATCGACCAATAATACATTGGCCACCGATTTACGTAAAGAAAACTAAACCCTTCAGCTCTTCCTGCAGTTTCTCTCCTTCTTTAGCAATTGTCAACAAAGCTGTGCAGAGCTATGGCTGAAGTAAATATCCACAACTATTGCTTTATGATATTTTTGCCAGTATATGTGAAGCAGATCAAAGCAGCATTTGTGTTTGTTCTGTTTACTTCTAGACCGTGAGGAAACGGTGCAGCCAGCTAAGCCGTCGTTCCTTGAGTATTTCGAACAGAAAGAGAAGGAGGCCAACAAAAACAGCGACAATGACAATCGCAAACTGCCTGCAGAAGCTGACATGGAGGTGGTAAGTGTTGTTTACTGAGAGTTTGTTGACTAAGCCTGTAAGCTTATTCATTATTCATTATGTTCTGTATATGTAGGCAAGAACCTGGCAGTTCATGTCTTTGGAGTGTGTTGCAATGTGTAGATGGTGGTATGAATGCAAATGAAAAAAATGGGGCAAAAAATTAAAGTCAGTGAGATTCAGAAATCCTAACTTATTCTCCTGCCAGACTGTGACATATTTCCTTATCTCACATGACATTTGGAAGGGGCTCGAAGCTGGCTGAGCATTTTCTCTCCATGATACATTCTCAAAAATAAAGGGCTCTTCACACAGTGATGTTAAAGAAACCAATTTTGCTTCCCTAAAAAACTTTTCAGTTTAAAGCTCTTTTAAAGAACCATTTTTGTATATGAGATGTGTGATTGTGAAGAACCTTTTCAAAATTTAAAGAGCCTCCTCACAATTTAAAGGTTTTAGGAAGAACCTTTAGTTTGGTATAGAACCTTTACATTATGTGTAGATTTAAACCTTTAAAAGGTTCTCATTGGGAGGGGGAGGACATGACATTATTGGCCAATTTTATTTTTCTCTGCCCACTGGTGCATGGCGATATACTCAAAAATCTGAAATTTTGTAGGCTGGGCAAAAATCAAAATTTTATGGAATGTTATGGGGAAAAACTAGAATTTTGTCTTTTAAACATTGTGGTATGATTATTCATACTTAATATGAGCAGGAACATGAACTGACAAGGTAAAAAACTCCACTGATTTTCATTGTTAACAGAGGGTTTACCAGAAGATGCCCAGAGGGTTTTTCATAGTATGCAGTCCACTGGTAAACCTGGGAAGAGGTGATACAAATTGTATTGTATTGTAAACTCATCTGGCCCTTGTTTCTACGCTCATTGTCCATTTTATCAGCTCCACTTACTATATAGGTGCACTTTGTAGTTCTACAGTTACAGACTGTAGTCCGTCTGTTTCTCTGCATGCTTTGTTAGCCCCCTTTTACCCTGTTCTTTAATGGTCAGGACTAGGGCTGGTGATCCTAGAGCGAACTAGCTTCTGCCCTAACATCCTGATAAGCTTTAGCAGCGTTAAATCACGTCTGCTCCACACAACTACAGAGCTGTCACAGTCATATTTTAGTGTTAGTCCATTCTCAAGCAGCAAAAGTGACAGAAAGAAGTGGGTTCATGAAAGTTAGACCACTGATCTAAACAAAAGTAAGCTGAAGATGCTGTATGTGTGGCATGGGAGAGTGGGAGAACGCTAGCTTCTCAGGTTAGCTGTTTTTAGCAGCTGGCTAACATGAAGTAGCGCTCTGTCACTCGCGCAGCACGGCCGAATTGATGTTATTGAAGTGAACTACAGAGATCAAACAACACAAAAAGCACTGGTTTAGTTGTGTTTAAACTGAAAAGGAGGACATTGTTTGAAAGAATCACACCACAGTTAACGCTGCTTAGGTCCGTCTTTTACACAGCGAGCATCCAGATATATTACAGTTCTTCCACCCCTCAGACTACTGTGGCTGACATTGCTGAGAAGCTAGACACTTTAGCACCTGTTACCAGATAAAAATAATTTTTCTTTTTAAATTATGAGTATTACAAAAATCACGTCTTTGCTGTACGTGTGGGAGTGCTGCCTTAAACAGCTAGTAAAAACAGCTAAGGGTTTAAAAACTCCAGCAGCACTGCTGTGTCTGATCCACTCACACCAGTGCAACACACACTAACACACCATCACTGCAGTGCTGAGAATGATCCACCACCCAAATAATACCTGCTCTGTGGGGGACCTGACCATTGAAGAACAGGGTAACAAAGTATGCAGAGAAACAGATGGACTACAGTCTGTAACTGTAGAACAAAGTGCACCTATACAGTCAGTAGAGCTGATAAAATGGACAGTGAGTGCAGAAACAAGAAGGTGTCCCTAATTAAGTGCTCGATGAGGTACTTTCTAGGTTATTTTCTCCCTGGGACCTGCTGGACTTCCTGCGATTTTGAATGATAGCATACCTTGAGCTGAGAAGCATTACTCTTTCCCTCAAACTGTCTTTACTGTATCTGTACCATGTCACTCTGGAAGATAATGCGATCTGGATGAAGTTCAGATGAGGAGGGTTTTAATACGGGTTCTCCTTATTTTGCGGTGATTTATTTTGGTTAAAACAATCAGCAGATGGCTCCGCCCACATTCTCTGGTTTCCCACTCCCACTCAGCAGCATCCCAAGTATGCACTCCGTGTTTCTGTGAAATCATTTTTGTTAAAAGTTCCATTTTTCGAAGGTCATTTATTTGTCCTGTGGGAATATAATGCTAAGATTGCCACGATACGGTTTTGCCGGGATTTGCGCCAACGTTTTTGGAAACGTTGGAGACTTTTTTAACCCATGGTCAGTAAGTTTGTACCATCACAAGGACATGTTGCCGTGGTTACATAGTGGGCCGAGACCAGACACAGGCCTCAGTAAGCCTCAAGAACAGAAAGGCCAAGTTACAGTTTAGGAAAAAGGCTGTACAGTTCTGTCATAAAGTCTCATGCGCAGACGATTAAACAGTAGCAGTGCAGTGGAAAACAAAAGTATGAAGAGAAACATGGAGCAGCATCAGCAGCACAAAGGATGCAGCAGGATAAATTGAAGTGTGCAGAAGCATCTGCTCATATCTAATCTCGGTGGACCACACTTCACCTTGATGACCTGAAACATGCACTGTATCCAGAAGTATCCAGCACCCTTCTAATGAGTGAATTCAGCTGCTAAAGGATGCAAGGTGCATCTTTTGCCGATAGAGGTGCGCACAGCTTGTATAATCTCCATGGAAAAGCATTGACCAATAGAATGGGACACTCTGGAGCAGCCGCACATTAGCCTAGTGTGGGCTAGAGGGCTGTAAAGCCCCCAGCATTGGCCTGTGGAACAGTGGAACTGGTTTGTCTGGAGTGATGGAGCTCCATCCAATACCTTTGGGATGACTTGTGATCCAGGACTGATCGTCCAGCATCAGTACCTGACCTCACTAATGCTCTTGTGGCTGAATGCACTCAGATCCTCACAGCAATGTTCCATCATCTAGTGTTAAAGCCTTCCCAGAAGAGTAGAGGCTGTTACTGCAGCAAAGGAGGACAAACTCATTATTAATACCCTTCATTTTCAGAAGAAATGCTGGATGAGCAGGTGCCCAAAAACATTTGGACATACAGTGAAACACACTGAGCATGCATTTCACTTGCTGAAGACAAGGTTGGAAGCCAAAATCTATGTATTGGAAGGGCTGTGCATGCTATAAGCTTCTGATCTAATGCAGATGATAATACTCTCAAGTTAAAGCGGATTCTATAATAGTAAAAAAAAAAATGGTATTTTATTGTCATAGCCATCAAATCCAGACAACGGGCAAGATGTTTCTATGGCAACATGTCTCAAATCAATTACCAGAGATCAATTAGAGATTTTTTTAGAGATTCAATTAGAGATTAGATGTCTTTTTTCTTGTCTTGTTTTGAGTAATAGAATACACATGCTAGACATGTTCAGAATGAATTAGTAGTATATGATGGTAGTTTTCCATTTTCCAGGCCTTTTGATCAAGACCACTTGTCTGAGACTGCAAAGCAAAATGCATCTCCCTAAATTCTGTAGTGCATTGCTGACCTAGGAGCAGTATTTGTGCTATTTATAACCAGACTTGATTTGTCTTGTCATATAACGACACCACAAAAGCATGTCTGGTTCAAGAAGAGAGCTTTGAAATGAAAATTTCAACATCAGTCTTATAAAAGCAGCCAGTGCAGCTTGGAATCTAATGCAAGAGATCAGAACACTGAACAGTGAAAGACGTTGCTTAGCTTAGATAATGAATAGATTGCTGTAGTCCATGAGATGTGAAGAATTTCTGTAGTTGCACTCGGTTGTAGTGACTGGTCTTGTGTTGGGCACTGATATTAGTCTAAGACTCATAAGGTAGACTGCCGATATGTTGGTCTAGAGCAGTGATGGACATGAACACGTTCCCTCTATTCAGTTGATGCATATGGGTGTGACAAGGATGGTCCCTGCAAAATCCATATAAAATGAAGTACAAGTGAGCAGTATGGCAAACATGTATGATCACAATACTTCAAAACGTTGATGACCAAACCTGACCTAATATGCTCTATTTGTAATCAAGCATGTAGGTGGGAAGTGTTTAAGTACTAACAACGTCCATAATATGCTCAGGAAAGCATGTATTGTGAGGTAATTTATCACAATAACAGTAAATAAACAATGTAATATTCCCCAGCCTTAACATGAAGTCAATATTTATGTATTTAAAGGTTTGTTTTAATAATCATAAAGTCAAAATAGTAGTTATCATTAAGATATTTGTTTTATAACTTTCATTTGTACAACATACAGAGCTGCTCAATTTTTTCGATGTGCCACATTCTTCACATTTAACACAGTAGCCATGTTTACATGCAGCCTAATAATCCGTTAATAATCCGACTAATAGCTTAATCGGAATAGAATATGTCCATGTTTACACCTCAATCTAAATAGTCTAGTCCGATTGAGGCCATTCGGAATACAATTTCTATGTGATTGAACGAGGTGGGTAATCCTGTAAAAAATCCATTAAATAGAAGAATAATATCTGTGTAAACAGCCTGTATCTGATTACATTCCCTATCAGAAAGTTTAAGTCCGTTCTGATCATGTTCGTCGCGTCATAATGAAAGTTTATACCGTTCAGCATGGCGGAGCAGAAACTGGTCTGCAGAGGAGACGAAGTTTGTGCTCTGATCTTTAAAAGACGGCGGTGAGACGGACATCCAGCTTATGTGTCTCAGAACACGACGTCTTCCTCTCGGCCTTCTTTAATAACGAGATGTGAAGGACGTTTTCCTGAGTCTGACATTTTTAAAGCAATTAAAAACACAAGCACTGCTCACTGCTGCTCATCTCACTCTGACTGGACTCATGTGATGTTCGCTGTCATGGTAACATTTACTCTAAGTGG